TTGATCGACAACGAAATTTCACGAAATACGGATCAAATTTAGCTGTTCGATTAATTTATCACGCGTACGTTCTCAATATATAACTTCAACCCAATTCAATTGTTGAAATGAAAATAAGTCGGCGCGATGATTTAATATCGTGAAATATTCAAAAAAACAAGAAAAAAAAAACCAAGAAAAAAAGAAGGGTAACTAGATAAATTAGTGGTAAAAATGAAAATATGGGATAAAAAAGAAAAAAAGAAAAAGAAAGTAAATATCAAAGCACAAATTCGGATGATATAGAAAATAATAAATAAGAGAGGGCAAACATAGAGTTTCCTGTAGGTATATAATAGATCGAATGTTCGGGATGGCAGATGGCACGTGACTCATACATAAAACCTGGCCCGCAAGGAACCCTCCGGGCCAGGAACGATTCGTAAATAAATTAGCTCGCTATCGGAACTCGAGATAACGCGTTATTTATGGACCGCTCGTGACGGTGCACCCTTTCCACTAACCTAACCTACCAAAGTTAAAGAAGAATGAACAAAAGAATAAGCTAAGATAGTAGTAGGTGTAGTAGTAATAGTCAAAATAATAGTAATAGGAATAGCAACTGTAAAGAAAAAAAAAGGAGCAATCCACCAGCAATCAGAACAACACACGACAGTAGCAAGCAGTTTGAGAAGAGTTAGGCTGTCGTGGTTGCTCCGTTTAATGGGATATAGGAAGGGCTAGAATACCATGAGCTTGTCCAGGTGGAATAAGCGAAGCCGCAGCTTACCACGTTCAACGCCTTTGACCTAAGCCGATTTTCTATTGATGTATGTAATACCGTACGCGTGTATGTAGAGAATTTAAGTTTGTATATGTGCTTGTATCTGTTATAGGATATATTTAAAGGTAACGTAATCTTTAGAAAATATATTTAAGTATTATTCAATGAACTGTGTTAAATACTACGTTTAACGCTTTAACAAGGGTTCAATAATTTTAACTTCAATGCACAACGGGTTAAACGAGTATTCGTACACTTCGTTATCGATTTTAAACAATTAATTATTCGTTTTTAATGTAATGTTTCAGTTCAATAATTCGAATATATATATATATATATATAAGAGAAACTCTTTGCATTAAATATAAATATTATTTGCAATTGGTAATCGAGAAATGGGTGTAGGAATACTCCAGTCAATTACTGCATACGTGGGCAAAAATTCAAGAAAATTAGTCGCTAAACGTGATCGATAATCTCGAGTGAAATTCTTGCTTTCAAAAATTAATTTACTCGATGCGTGCTTATTGTTATGTCATCGATAACTCTAGCTCCATCAAATCTTGCAATTAAGTTATTTTTACATTTTAAATAAAAATATCGATTATTAGTTTGACGTAATTTTTTCGTCTTTTTTTTTTAGACAGATACTAGGTAACTTAGGAAGGTTCGTTAATTGATAGCTGGGCGTGGTGTGTACACCTGGTTTGCTGATCGATACCAACAGAACTTCCACGTATTTTAAGTTACAGTTTTCATCGTTTTTCTTTTTTATTATTTTTACACAAAGTATGAATGATTACGATCATTTTTTATCTTGTGTTTAAAGTTAGGTAAAAAAAAAAGAACGACAAGTTGATCGATGGAACAACATAAAGCAAAAACACAATATCAAGTTATAATCATTTAATATTATTTTTTATCAATAATAATTACATTATCTTTTCCAATTTAGATAAAGCAGAATGATTGACAAAGCGAGAAGAGTAAAAGGGCTAATAATTCGAAAAAATAAAAAGAAAGAAGGGGGGGGGGTCGGTAGGAAGGAAGGAAGGAAGAAAAAAAAATCAAAGGCGTTTGGATGGTTCTACACTCGGTTCTTAAAATAAGACCGAAAATCCAATATAAAAGCAATATCTGAAGTGACACGGTGAACACCACGACGGAGTTCGTCTTTCGCCCTATCAACTGTACTTTCTCTTTCTCCTTCTATTTTTTTTTGTATCCACTTTACTTACATCTCTCTCTCTCTCTCTCTCTCTCTCTCTCTTTATCTTTTTTCTTTTCCCTCTTTTTTTTTTACCATCATACACATCTATAACAGTCTTTTCTTCCGTTTAGGAGACTTCCAAGTCGCCCTCGATTCGAAGAAGCAATTTTCTTATGGACGTCTGCAACACTTCGTCTTTTCGCTTTTACTTCTTACGCGCGCATATACAAACACACACCTGATACATATATACATAGATATTTCTTATATGTATTTATAACGTATAGTTATATATATATATATATGGCGTTTATATGTATTGATGTATATTTTACAGGTGATATGATTTACGAGCTTCTTTCTTACCACATTAACAAGCCCGTTAATTTACTCTTATTTTTTTTTTCTTTTTTTTTTTGTTACTTATGTCTCGTTTATTTTAAACCTGGTTACCTGGTTATATGAACCGTTTGTATGTTAATTAATTATTACAATTTGTTATAATGTATTTCTTTTTTCTTATTCTATTTGTTACAATCGATTCGTTTATCCTTTTTTTTAACGTTAGTTTTTTAATTAATTTCTCTCACGTAAATTGTATTGCGTTTGTACAAATACGATTAAGAAATAATTGCCTTTTTTCCGTTGATTCTTTTATCTTCAATATCATACACGTTCGATAACAGTTACCATAGAGTATGCTAAATCCTTATACTTCTCGCGTATTTTTAGAAATCTGTGTCGTTATCGTATACAACTAAAGAAAAATCTTTAGCCACGTTTATGTTATTTTTTGCATTCTTCTTGTTAGTAACTTGAACTAGATTTGATAAAAATATAGATGGAATTTTTTGTTTGTACAAAAATATGTTTTACATATTTTTAATACGATTTACGTTCCTGCGATAATCTGATGTTAGTCAATGGTATGAGTTTGTCTACGGTAATATTTTTTTTATTCACGAATGAATCTACGATAATGTTATAATCAATGCATAATATAAAGTGTAGGAATTATTTAACGTACGAATCTACGAAGAAGTTAATTAACGTATTCGTAGTATTAGAACAAAGTTAGAAATGTTCGTACATTTTAGCGTAGTAGGAAGTTTTGTGGTTTCTTCATTCTCGTTTGCTAAAGTTTTGGGAAAGGATCATCACTCGTGTTTCCGGTTAACTTTTACCTACTTTCTTTTTACTTTTCTTTTTTCTTTTCTTATATGGAATGAGAAATACTTTTTCCTTACGGATTTCTACGCTTTTCCATCATTCGCAGGAAGACTACGGAACTTATGAACTTATTCCAAGAGAATTTATCACCATAATTTCTTTTCCCTCCCTCTCCTCCTTCTTTTGGTTTTTATATCGAATTTTGTAAAAGTTATAATGTAGCCTTATCGAGAGACCGAAAATTGACACGTTATTCGATAGAATTTGGAAAATATTATTCGCAGAAATTTCAAGTTCACGTGCATAAGAATTTTCTTTTAGTTTAATTAGTATTTCTGCAACTAGCAGATTTTTAGTATTGCGAATCGTAATTCGAAAAAGAATTCTGTATTATATTATAATAGTGTAAACAATTATTCATTTTTCTTGTTTATTACTCGATTTATTTGAATATTTTTAACAAAGTAAAAGATCTTATTATTTCCTTGCTATGTCTAGTTAAAAATCTCTCTCTCTCTCTCTCTCTCTCTCTCCCTCTCTCCCTCTCTCTATCTTTCTCTATCTTTCTCTATCTTTATTTTTTCAGTATTGTTAACTTGCTTGCTTTTATCTTCTTTGGCTCGCATCACTGTCGCTTTGGTAACGAGATTTTATCCGACGGCGGCTACGTGTCATTTACATATATCGCCTGAAGGCGGATTTTCTGCAGCTTTTTCTATCTCCTCTTCCTTTTCTCTCTCTCCCTTTCCCATCTCACACATACACAAATACACATATGAACATTTCCTTTAGGCGAATTCGAGGGTGCGACCACGATGGGCGGCGGATTTACATTTACAAGCAAAATCTTCGACAAAAGAAATTTAACTGAAACCAAAAATAATATACAAAAAGTATACGCGTTAAAAATAGGAGAACCAACCCGATTTTTTTTTTTAACTTTATACAGTCCTAGGTCATACACTATGCAAACACTACCACCCAATACTCAACAATTTTTAAGAAAACTAAGAAAGAAGTTACGTGATAACAAAAATTTAGTTAGGTTGAAAAATTCGGAGTCTAATAATACGACGACGGGTTGAAAAGTTTTGAGCTTAACACTATGTGGACAACCATATTACGATTGAATAATTATACAATAAATGGAGTGTCTACGAAGAATTGAGTCAATGTATTAAATTATTAAGTATGAAACATCCGATTATTCATACTACTTTCAGTTCGAAATCAGACATTTCATACTTAGTGACCTAATATGAATAGAGAAAAATATTTAATCAATGCACGAGCCTACGAATATATTTAATCAATGCATAAGAGTTCTAAAGAAACATTTCGTTAATGTATACGAGTCTTTATGAAATATAACTATATAATATATTCAAAGTATACGTGTAGGAAATATTATATCAACGTATCATAATATAGACAAATCATAATCCTTAATTATGAATGAAATGAAATATTGTCTAACGTTGTTTATTATTGTGATAACGTCATAAGTAATTAATATTTAATAACACAATAATAGTAATAATGATACTCTTTAATCACGTATGTTCGATAATTGATATTGACATTGATCGTAACTTTATTATCAATTATCTCTGATAATACCATTTTATCATTACTATTGTTAAATTATTTATACGTATTAACGTTAATTATATTATTTTTCTTATAATTGTCCAATTGTTAATCAACGTGGTTTTTTCAATTTATTCGTAGAATTAGAAAAAACAAACGAACGTAGAGAGAGAGAGACGCGAGCAAGTATGAACGATTGATCGATAAGGGATATAAGGGATAAGGGATAAGGGATAAGGGATAAAGAAAGAAAGTGTGACGACTTACCGTGGCTGGACAAGACGAGCTGTCCCTGGAGAGACTACCGAGAGTCACCAACAAACGACGCGGGGCCCCCAACACCGACTCTCGCCATCCCTCTGAAAAATATTAACAAAATAAACTAAGTACAAATGAACAATAAGTATTATAAATTGATAATTGCTTTTATATTAAATTAAAATTCCTTGTTTTTTTTGTATACAGATAATAGAGAACATTGAAACATTACGGAAGATATAAAAATAAGATAACTAGTTACGAGATAAATAACATTTAACCTTTCGGTAACCAGCGACCTATATAAGAGGGTCGACGATTTCGAGGTATGAGAAAAAATTCATGAATTTTGTTGAAAAATTTTCCACGTTGTTGGTAAACAAAATTAAATTGCACAAAATGTATGGGGAAACCTAATTATATATATATTTACTTTTTACGCATGCTTATGCAATATATATTATATATTCTATATATAAATTTCAATCATTTACTTTTTTCTTATAAGCGACGGAATAAATTGAAATATTATTATATATTCTCCGAACTTTTAACTTAAAAGAAAAAGTTAAATATCTTAAGATCGTAAAGCATAATACGAGTAGGCGTATAAGAAGAAGTAAGGTTACGACAGGCCACAGGGGAGTTTCATATTGCTGGATTAAGTGTTAAACTTCCATCTTCGACTTCTACAACTATCCCTATCTCTCTCTCTCTCTCTCTCTCTCTCTCTCTCTCTCTCTCTCTCTCTTTCTTTCTGGCACCCTCTCGATCGTTATCTTCTATCCTTCTTACTTTCTCTAACCGTTCGCGTCTTAAACCAACTAAGTTATGGGTGAGACTTTCATTAAACGGCTTGATGACGGATCGTTTTGTCTCTTTGATATTAACGACGTCTGCCGAAAGCACCACCAAATTCTGTCCAATATTAAGGAACAATTTAATCCTCTTTGCTCTACAAGATTTCATCTTATATATATATATAAACGATTTACGTGTTTGATTATTATTTTCAATAATTATATTTTAACGATTGAAAGCCATTTAAGTGGCGTACTATTCAAACTAATCTTCACAAAAGTCAGTATAGTGGTATACTGTTAAAAATAATATTCATGACGGGTCACTATTCAAAATAATATTCACAGGAAGTTTTTATAATGATATACTGTTAAAAAATAATCTTGACAACGTGCCACTATAGTAGTGTGCAATTTCTAAGATATTTAGATGAAATATTATAAAATATATTTTGTTAAATTTGTTACATCCTGTAGTAAATTTGATTGATTAGTTTTAGATCAAACACGTGAAGTTTTTACCAAGACAATTTCTTCTAGAAAAGTAAAAGATTTCTTTGAGAAATTGATTGAAAATTTGATCCAACGTAGAGAGAATAAAAAGTTAGAATTTAAAAATTTAGACGCTCACCTTTTATGTACATCGTTACGGTATAGTCTCACTTTAAATTTGTATTCGAAATAAGCGTACATTGTTCAACAAATGTTATCGCTTAATTTAATTAAAAAATTAATTTCAATTATATACTTACTAGGAATTGTCATTTTTTTACTTATCAATTTATTATTTAATTTATAGTTTTGCACAGAGTTGGAGAAACTCAATAACTAATTCAACTGGAAGCACAGGAGAACAGAACAGACTTGTTAGGCAAAACTCAAATCAGATGTGTAGTACCCTACAGACAGACTAAAACTGAAACTTTAGGTCTTTTGATTTTTTCTTTTGACCTATTATATTCCAATATCCACTTCCAAGTAAATTTGTTTTTACAAAATACTAAATTTGGTTTCCCATTGGATAGAAATTAGAAAGCCTTAAGAACTCTAATGGTTTTAGATTGAAAAAAAATTCTATTGTATTTCCAAGATACAATTCGAGATTATTTAAAGTTTGAAGAAAACGTTGACAAGTTTTATCGTTTAGACGAAGTTCGGATACCATTTGGCTATTAGATAATCAGGGAAAGGATATAAATGTTTTTACAAATCCAGTTGAGTAAAAAGGTCAAAAATTTATTGAATATCTTAAAACGGTAAATTTGATAATATATTTTTGTTCAGGTAGCAGAAGAACCCTAGATAACATTTTCTATTTATAAAAGATAAATATTAAGAATAAGGGAGGGGGGGGGGAAAGAAAGCTTTTAGTCACAACATAACAGATAAAATATGAATAGATATTGTTGAATAGGATGAATAAATGTATGTGCGTATATGTGTGAGCGAATAAGTATAGTTATGTGTATGTGTTAGGAATAATAACGTTACAATATATCCCAGGAACAAGCTCTGGCCACTAACCAACCTCCGAATTAATAAATCTCAATTACGTAAGTTAATATAGGAAGGGGTAATTCTGTCCCCTAGTCTTTGTCAGGAATTCCGAGGGTGAAGGTATCTCTATCGGTCATTGTTACCGAACCCCGGTTACGATAAGACTTGTAAATGAAGTTACACTGTTATTTCATTTGTTGTTAACGACAAATTTTGTACTTTTTCTATTATTCATTTATTATATATATATCGTTTATTATTTAATATTTATCATTTATATCTCGATTTAATTTTGTTTTATTATAATTAAAAAAAAAACAATATATTGTTAAGTTGAACATCTTTTTTTATTTAATATTAATCATATCGATGAGAATATTCATTTACTCGTTATACCGTAGAAATATATATATGTGTGTGTTATATAATCAAAACCATGAGAATAAAAATAAATGATAATAAAAAAACATTTGTTTTGATAAAACAATGACATCTTTAGAATTACCAACGCGTCGTACACACATATCAAACATTGCGAAAATGGATTATGTTTGTGTGTGTGTGTTTATGTACTGAATACAGATGCGTGTCTTTCTCTCGTTTGCGCGTCGAATTAAAGCGAAATAAATCATAAATATTAAACGAGGCTTTCAGTCGTAGGATTACAGGGGTCGTAGCCCTCTGTACTTCACCCCTCTGATCCCTCCCCCGTTTCTCCCGGAAATGATAGAGGAGCCCTTCCTTCCTACCTCAGGGAGATTACCCAAAGAATTTCAATGACAATGGAACCTAACGGAGACATCTTTCCAGCATTCCGTCTATTATTATTGACCATTCTCCGAATTTTCCTTTAATAGAATCAAACTGTTCCAACTCTTGTTCAACAAGTTGGATAATGTAAAAAAAGAAAAGGAAAATGAAAAAGAAAAAAAAAGAAAAAAAGCTATACTTCGTCGAATTTACACATTAAATACAAGGTTGCTCGGTTGCATAGCTCTGCAATTGTTTTAATTAGGGAAAACATAGTATTTAATATTGACGTTGCGAGGCCAACGTGCAATACGAAACCATGCGAGATAATTGATTATGCTGCATATGATGCGGTCTAACGACGATTACGTGCAATATCGTTTCGCGAGTCGAGATTTTAACAACAAGCCTGCAGTCTTAATTACGAAATCAGTACTTTCTAAACTCTTATTCTATGTCGAGTGGAATCATTCGAGCGAGACTTGAATAGAGAAGGGCTAATCTTCCTTTTCTAGTTCTCTCATTATCATTCTTTTCTACACGCATACAAACATACGTCTAGATCATCGATACAATTCATTGGAACGAACGAATTTGTTTTCTGAAAGAGATTAGTATAGAATAAAATTCAATTAAATTCGTTCATTCATTCATTTATATTTTTAATCCTTATTTTTTATTCACGTAGCATTATCAAATAAACAAAAAAGAAGAAAAATGTGCAAAGTTTTTTAAACGATCGGTTAGCTAATTTAAAATAAGTTTAATGGTGAAATGCGAGATCAATTACTTTTCAATGAGATTTAAATATTATCTACGTTGTTTTTGATAAATTTAAAATCCATGGATTATAATAAATTAACACACTAAACGTACCGAGATTTAAGGCATACCTATTCCTACTGTGAGCGATCAAATGAACGCTTTAAAAAAAAAAACCATAATATATTCTAATATGGAATGAGATTCAATATCCAATTCTAATGGGATAGTGAACAATATACCTTATTTTATTTATAAATGAATACTGTAAATACATTTTATACGTTTTCATCGAATTTTTTGTACAAATTATAGGGGATTCTTAGAAATGACCACATCATTACAAATTACAGGACGCGGTTCATTTGATCGCATCATTGTATGATTAGTGTTAAAAAGATTTTTGAAATGATGATAACGTAATCCATTTGAATACTCTTTTAAAAAGATAAAAATCCTTTTGCTGGAAGAATTCGTACGTTCAAGTAGAGAGAGAGATTCGTACAGTTGTAAGGGAAGAAGAATGAAAGAAAGAAAGGGGCGAAAAAAAGGGCGCAAGAAAGGTAGAAGGAAAAGGAAGAAGTAATAGAAGAAGAAGAAGAAGAAGAAGAAGAAGAAGAAGAAGAAGAAGAAGAAGAAGAAGAAAAAGGTTCGATGGTCGTTCGTAGAAAATCCTCATTCCGAATCCCGAAGGAACGAAATGGCTTGATTAACTGACGACGCGTCGTTACTGCGGCCAAGGTTCTACCACTCTCTCTTGTACTTTGGGAGTATTGCCCTATAGGGCTCGTAGCAATGTTCGTGTATTTGAGAGAGGGTGCCTCAAGGCAAAAAGAAAATGGAAAGGGGCGTACCAAGCAAGCTTTGCTCCTTTATTCGACTTTGCGCGATCACGTCCGCGGTTTTCTTTCCCTTTTTTTACCTCTCCCTTTTCTCTCTTCTTTTTTTCTTACGCCCGATAAAAAAGGCCCTTTGCTTTCCTTATTTCTTATAATAATTTTTTTTCTTTTTCTTTTTCTTCTTCTAATCTTTGTGCCGAAAGGAAAAACGCATTTAATTTTTTAAAGAGAGAAGGATAAGAGTGTAGTAAGTTTATGATTGCACCACACACACACACACACACAATTTTTGTTTAATATAAAATGATTGGAAAATTATTTGTTTTTATTTCAAATATAATAGATGTAGGAGATGATCAGAAAAATTATTTATTTATTTCAAATATAATTTATATAAAAGTTGATAATTATATATATTATGAATAAAATATTTGTTTGATATTGTG